TTTTTTTTTTTTTTTTTTTGGGTCCGGACATTTTTGCACCCCGGGGACTGGTCCGGACTGTCCGGTGTCCGATGATGTCTGGTGTCCGGTGATGTCCGGATCACCGGACAGTCCGGACCGGTCCAGACACTGGTCCGCAAGACAGTCCGGAAGTGTCCGGTGTCCGGGTCTGGGGTTACCATGAAGAAAACAAACAAAAGAACACAAAAGCACTGTAAAATTGTGTAAATAGTATTAAACCCTAACACAAAAACACTTTGCACCACTGATCCAAAGATTCCAAACTCGTCAAAACTGGGCACATGGCGTACCCTAGAACACCTACATATCACACACAAAGACACACAATAACAAGCAAGAAATCACGGCACTATGACAGCTTCTTCTTCTTCTTCTTCTTCTTCTTCTTCTTCTTCTTCTTCTTCTTCTTCTTCTTCTTCTTCTCCTCCTCCTCCTCCTCCTCCTCCTCCTCCTCCTTCTCGTTCTTCTTTTTCTTCTTCTTCTTCTTCTTCTTCTTCTTCTTCTTCTTCTTCTTCTTCTTCTTCTTCTTCTTCTTCTTCTTCTTCATAACTCGTGCATGCATACATCACTTTTTTGCAGGTATTACAAGCAGCTCGAGACCACTTTGGATGTGCTTCGCTGAATGGTGCCGAACTGGAAAATAATGGAGGGAGCGGACAAGTCGGAAGTCACTGGGAGGACCGAATTTTTTACACAGAGCTGATGGTGTGTTTCCTTTTTAGTTTGTTTTTGCTTCTGGGGCGGAGGGGGAACTATAAGTATTAAATCCTCTTCCTTTTTAGTTTGTTTTTGATGAAAACGAAAACTTAGACATTGCACACCAGTGGACTCAACGCTGGAAAATCGCCCCGAGCTTATAATAATAATAATAATATACAAAAAATGATTACAAATAATATAAATATAATAAAATAATAAAAACGAGTTGAGCCAAAACTCAAAAGCAATGTGTTCATAGTACTTCATACTATATGGCCGTGAGGGCATACTCGCATGAGGACTTTGCAGGATGTACTTCGTGCACAATTGAGACCAAGTTCAGCAGAACAAGGTAACAAGTCTGAGTATGTACTCCAAGTTAGGTTTCAAAATGTTGCCAGACTTATCAGTCCATCCGGCAGCTGCCATATTTTTCCCACAACTGAACTGTATGCAAGGAAACTGCACTAGAGAAATTTCAACCTACAAGCACACTGAGCTCTGCTGAGCGACATTCATAGGGCAACAAGGAAAACTAGCAGAAAAGACAAAGCAATTCTGTAGTCTATTGATGAAAAATTGAAAATCCCTCTTCTCACCTAACAACAACAACAACAACAGAAAATAGCTGTTCTAGTGTCTGGACTCCGAAGGCTTGCAAAATTGCAAGCGAAGTCAACTTGATTCAAGTAACAAATACTAAGTAACAAACGTTTTTCCAAAAAAAAGCAACAACAGCAACAACAACAGCAACAACGACAACAACAACAACAACAACAACCAAAAAAAAAAAAAAAAAAAAAAAAAAAAAGAACACAACAACAACAACAAGAAAGAAAGAAAGAAAGAAAGAAAGAAAAAAAGAATGTCCCTGCCAGAAAAATTATGTTTATCGGACTTTATCCTCGTTTTTTTTTCCTGGAATTTGATTGTGAAAATTTTTATTTATTTATTTATTTATTTATTTATTTTAAGAAAATAATCTTTTATAAAACCGGGAAACGGGCCCGGCGTCCCTCACATGAATTCCGTAGCCAAACCAGGCTGGGAAAGGCACTTTCGGCCAATCCCATCCCCAACCACGGACCTCCCATAGTGAAGACGCCTGTCTTCAGCCCATCCCGTGCAAATCTCTTGTTGCTAACCCTAGTCTATGTTAATACTAACGTAGAATTTAATCCTATTCCAATATATCGATTAATTCTATATTATCTAAACAACCACACAAATTCCCGACCTATTCCCTGATACAATTACCGTAGCCATCCCTAACCCTAAATTATCTACAAATTTGAAAAATTTTGAATTCAACATACGTACGTTGTATTCGAATACAAATACAACGTATGTACGTTGTATTTGACAGTAGGTTCTATTCGGAAAAAAAGGAGCAATTTCCAAAAGTCTGATTTTCAAAGGTAATGCGAATAGAACGCACGTATGTTTTTTTGGCAGGTAAGAAGGTAGCACGCAACTGCCATCTCCAACTGAATAGAACCCCAGGTAATTACTGCCGTATCTGGACTGAAAGTCGCACCAAATACAGCTAGAATGACCAGGGATTCTAGCTCCTGGCCCGCCAGTCTGCTGAATGACCCTGTTCTTTTGCCAAAATACCAATTCTCTCTCTCAGGAAGATGTTACTTTGTCTACTTCTTGTTCCTCTTCTTGTTCCTCTCCTCTTCCCTCCTCTTCCCTCGTTCCTCCCTCGTCCGTCATCATCATAGTCCTTGTCCTCCCTACTCCTCTTCCCTCCTTTTCCCTCCTCTTCCCTCGTATGGACTGCGAGTGTCAACAACGGCGACAGGGGCTTAATGGAAAGATGGACGGTTCCGGGAAGGGCATATGGGAAACTTTTCTTCTGGTTCTCAACAGGCCGCCGGTAGGGGCATACTGAAAATTTGGTACCGGTACCGGTAGGGCCATACGAAACATGTTTGAGGCCCAAACGACACCAGGGGTTTTCTGGAAACATCATTCGTCGTCAGAGGGGCGCGACAAGGTAAGTCGGCCGTCAGAGGGGCACGCGGCAAATAAACGGAAACTTCAGGGGCATTTCGAAAATCCCTTATTACTATTTTTATCATTAGGGATATTTTGAAAAATACCCCCATAAGTTGAAATATATTCCAAAATGCCCCTGAAAGATGTGGGCAGACGGGAATGCCCTTTTAGGCCGAAATCTTTGTGTGGTGCCCCTGTCAGGCGGGTGTGCAACTGAGCAATCTGGACGTCCCCGTTTGGGCATTTGGCCTTTTGCAATAGCACCTAGGAAAAGTTGGCAAGTACTGGGGCATTTTGCAAAGCTGGACGGTACCTGGTAGGGGTATATTGCAAAGATGGGGGTCCAACCGACGCTAGGGGTATTTCACAAAGTATTTTTTTTGTCAGAGGGCATTCTGCTCTACCCACATCTTTTAAGGCCATTTTGGCATATATCTCAACTTATGTTTTTTTTCTTCTTTTTTTTTTTTTTTACTATCAATGTTGTTTATTATTTTCAAAATACCGGAAACGGGCCCGGCGTCCCATACAAATTTTCACAGCCCCAGTCCAACCCCCAGCTACTCCGGCCGGGTGCAGGTCCAGGCTGCAGAAACAAAACCAAACCGAACATTTCAAATCAATACTGGAGCAAAACTAGGACTGTACTGAGTACATGGCGGAGGTCCTTCACAAACTTTCACAGCCCCAGGCTTGCACCCAGCTACTCCGGCCGGCTGCAGGTCCAGGCTGCAGAAAAGAAACCAAACCCAGCCCTTCAAACCAATACTCAGGCAAAGACTAGACAGCCTATAACCTATAACCGCGTCCTGCTGGACTGTACTGAGTGCATGCTGCACAGAAAGAAGGGTACTATTGTCTTGCCAGTCTGGCTTCCGAGCAGTGATAGTCTCACATACAATGCTCGTTACAGCACCATCGAAAACAACACCATTTCTAACAATATTACACTGTAATCTTCTGTATCGAAGTAAAGTATCCCTCATTATTATTATTATTATTTTATTACTATTTTATTTAAATTTATTATTTTTATTATTATTTTATTATTATTATTATTATTATTATTATTATTATTATTATTATTATTATTTTATTATTATTATTATTATTTTATTATTATTATTATTATTATTATTTTCTGTTGGTCTTGTCCAGAACATCATTCACCACTTAGTCAAGCACTATGCTTGCCCCGACTTCTTTCCAAGTTACTGTGCGTGGTTCACTGCATTGTCCAACTGAAGTCAAGATGGTCAAGACCCTACCGTCTTCACCCAAATACAACGCCCAGTCATTATCGCTGTACCGAGACTGAAACTTGCACCAAATACTGCTATAGTGACCCGGCGTTCTATTCGGATGAAGACGGTAGGGTTCTACCTAAGAGCCTTTTTTCTCATTTTCTCCCAGTGCATTGGATGCAGTCTGTCCTCAGATTGATTGTCAGTTAAATGTCCAGTCTGTTCGGAATTGCAGCTTGTGATTGACTTCATCATGTGGTGTAAGAGGTGGGTTTCGGGACCGAGCCGTCGGGGTCAAGTCTGACCGTTCAGCGCCTTACGGTCCATAGGAACACCAGCACCTAGTGTACTAGGCTGCCTACCTTCAGAGGGTCCTCCCCATTTCTGGTTCGCGTATTGGACCTCAGAGTGACTCTGTCCTCTCCCCCCGTATTGGGGTTCTGGGGGCCTTGGTCTTCTATTTACCAATAATTGCTTATCGTTTGAGCGACCTCTGTGTCCGTAGCAGCCAGCTGTGTCGGTCGTCCGAGTCAGACTCTGCCTATGTTCCGATATTATCCATTTGCTGCAATCCTTGCGGCCTTCATTCTCCTGGTCCTGCTGCCGCTGCTTCTGCTGCTTCTGCTTCTGCTTCTGTTGCACTTGCATTCGCATTTGCAGCTGCTTCTCCTCTTCCTGTTCCTGTTCCCACTACAGATGCAGTTGTTCCTGCTGCAACTGCGTTTAACTGCTGATGGCGCAAACGCTGCTGCTGTTGCGATTGCATTTACCACTACTGCAGGACCTGGTGCATTTGTTGCAGGTGCTGCTGCTGTGGCTGTTAAAACTCAGTCTGTTGTTGCTGCACCTGCTGCTGCTGTTGTTGCTGTAGCTGCTGCTTCTGTTGCAGCTGCGGTTGTCGTCGTAGCTGCATCCTCTGCCGTCGGGGATCGTTATCCTGTTGCAGCTGTTGCTGCGGCTGCTGCTTCTGCTGTAGATACTGTTGTGCCTCCTGCTCATGAATCTGCTGTTGATGATGTGGGAACTGTTGCTGGTGCAGAAGCTGCTTCTGATATTGGTGCTGCAAAAGTTGTTGCTGCTGTAGCTGCTGCTGCTGCTGGTGGTGCTGCTGCTGATGCTGCTGCTGCAACAACATCGTCTGCTGGTTTTGTCGCCCGCGCCCAGATCACATTTAATTTAGCTGCTGTTGAGGCGGGGCAGTGGGGGCTGGCAAGCCCGTCAGCGGCCGGAGCTGCAGCAGCTGTTGCTGCTTTAGATCCTGCTGTTGGTGGTGATGCTGCAACAACGCCTGCTGGCTTTGCCGCTCCTCCTCTGCTTGGATATGCTGCTCTTGCTGTTGTACTAGCTGCTTCTGGTGTCGCTGCTAAAATATCTCCTCTGGCTTTTACCTCTCATGCTCTGACTGCAGCTGCTGCTGTTGTTGCACCATCAGCTGTTGCTGCTGCATTTGCTACTGTAACAGCTGTTGCTGCTTTTGTGGTTTTGCCGTTGTTGCTGTACTTGAATCTGCAGCTGTTGCTGCTTTTGCGGCTCGTGCTCTGATTGCAGCTGCTGCTGTTGTTGTTGTTCCATCAGCTGTTGAGCTAGGAGCTATTGCTGCTGCAATAGCACCTGCCAGTGGTGGTTTTGCTGCGCTTGCTCCACTTGCATCTGCTGCTGTTGTTGTCGAATTACCATCGTTTGGTATTGCTGCTGCAACATCGCATGATGTCCTCTTGCGGCTCCTGTCTTAGTAATTCTTTTCTCTGGTACTGTTGTCGGTGCAACAGCTATTGCTGCTGCAATAGCGTCTTGTGCTGTTATTGAATACTCTTGTTGCACCAGCGGCTGTTGGTGTACGAGTACGAGTTGGTGCTGCTGGTGTTGCTGCTGCAACAACTCCTAGTATTGGTTTTGGTTCCGTCTCTCCTGAATCCTGGTCGATGGGCTGTTGTTGGGCGTGGGCACTGAGGTCTGACAAGTCTCGCAACAGCATCTTTTGGTCGTCAGCTTGCTTCTAGTGGTGTCGGGGTAGGGTGGTGAGCACTGGCAAGACCACTACCGTCTTCAGCCTAATAGAACGCCCGGTTATTATAGCTGTATCTGGAGTGAAAAGTGCACCAAATAGGGCTATAATGACCGGGCGTTCTAAACGGGTGAGAAGGTAGCAGCGGTGGTTGTCATGGCTGCTGTGCGGCTGCATCTGCAGTGGCTGGTGATGTTGCTGCCGCTCCAGCGCCGGCTGTCTTTTCTGCTGCTACGCTGATTCCATCAGATTCTCCTGTAACAGCACCCCCTGCTCAGTTTGCTTCTGCTGCTGTTGGGGTACCTTCTTTCGCCGAATACAATGTACGGTCATTATTATAGCTGTATTTAGAGTGAAAGATACCCCAAGTACAGCTATAATGACCGGCGTACGTTGTATTCGGGGGAAGAAGGTAGGGCTGGAGGACTGTCGAGAACACTAGCTGCCATTGTTGTTGTTGCGGCTGCAGCTGCAGTCACTGTTCATCATCAACAGCGATTTCGTCAAAACGCTCATCTTTTATTTTTTGAATGAAATTGGAAATCCAAACGGGGGGGCAAAATTTGATGAAGTTTTGGGTACGGCGTTCTGAAAACGCCCTACCCTCTCGATGTATCTGGACTCATACAATGTCCAGATACATTCAGGGGGTACGGCATTCTTTGGCCGAGTCCACATACATCCAGAGCGTAGGGCGTTCTCAGAATGCCGTACACAAAATCTCATCAAAATTTGGCCCCACATTGAATTGCGATTTTCAGATAATATTGGATTTCGCGCTTGGAGGCAATGATTAAGCAATGAGCAATCAACGTTTTGACGAAATAGCTGTCCGTCCTGCTGGTTTTGCACCTGGTCCAGCTGCTGCTGCTGGTATTTATTGCTGTCGCAACAGCGCCTGCTGGTTTTGTCTCTCCTGCTCAGCTTGCGGCTGTTGGGGGCGTCAACAGTGAGGGCTGGCAAGTCCTGCAGCTGGAGCTTGTTGAAATCAATGCAGCTGCTCCTGCTCCTGGTGCAAAGGCTGCTGCAGCTCATGTAATTGCTGCTGCATTGGCTCAATTTAGCTGCAGCTGCCCTTGATGGGGGTCTTGGTTTGGCACCACTGGTGGTTAGCGAGAGGGGGGCGAGGTCGGTCTCAAGGGGCTGGCAAGGCTAGCGGATCGGGGAGAAAACCCCCCGTGTGCCATTTCTTGTTACTTAGGTATATTGCCTCAGAGGCTCAGAGTCTCCTTTGATGGCCCAGGGAATCTGTTCAGCCTGAACGAGGTCCCAACTTCGCGTACGGTCGCCAGACTGAGTGATACGGGGCAGGTAGATCAGGTGTGGGTTAAGTAAGATAGTGTTTTGCCAGTTCACTCGCGCACCTGACAGGTTTCTTTTCCTCCTTCCATTTCTGGTCTTGTTATACAAGCTGGGAAACGGGCCCGGCATCCCTCACATACGTGTACGCGGCTCCCTCACATATGTGTACTCGACTCCCAACTATGAACGAGAGCGTCTGACAGTTGTTTGCCAGTTCACTAGAGCTCCTGTAAATTTTTATTTTTGTTTTCTTGGGGTGTCACTGATAGCTTTTTGCCAGTTCACTTCAGCTTCTGAAGAAGAAGAAGAAGAAGAGGAAAGAAAAAAAAAAAGAAGAAGAAGAGGAAGAACGAAAGAAAGAAAGAAAGGAAGAAAGGAAGAAAGGAAGAAAGAAAGAAATCGCAGAGAAGTTTTCCACCACGTAATCGAATGGTTGACAAGACAAGTCCTGTCCCCGGGGACATCCGATAAACTCGGATAAAGTTCAATTGGAAGGATACAGAGAATGAAGATTAGCGTGGCCGCTGTGCAAGGATGACACGCATAACTCGAGAAATGGTCCAAACTTTTTGTTAAGAAAAAAAAAAAAAAAAAAAAAAAAAAAAAAAAAAAAAAAAAAAAAAGACAAGTCCATATGTACCACAAAGTTTTTTGTTTGAAAAAAAAAAAAAAAAAACTTTTTTGTTTTCTTTTTCTTAAGGAAAAAAAAAAAGGCATCGAAAAGACTGACATTCCTTACAAGGGGCGATGATATGAGCAATTCCCCCTACCTTCTTCCCCCTAATCCAACGTACGGTCATTATAGCTGTATTTGAGGCATCTTTCAGTCTACATACAGCTATAATGACCGTACGTTGTTTTCGGGGGAAGAAGGTAGTAGGGGAAGAAGGTAGTAGTAGGAGACGGGGCTCCTCCAATTTATTTGCGGTGAAAAAAAAA